GTGAATTTTTTTCGACCAGTAAGCATAATTTAGAGAACACGTAATTCGAAACAAAAACCTGCTCAATATTTTGACAAATAACTCAATTCTGGTGAGTCAGCAGAAAGGGATGTTTCGAACTCTGCCGGCGGAAAGCTGTGAACTAAAAAATTTCATTCCTGCGCGGTACCTTTGCCCGTCAAGTGACCATCAAGAACCGTTGCCCTTCAAAAGTGATCGTTGAACCCGACTAACAGAACGTCTATTTTCCAAGTGTTTTTACATGGAAATTTTAAAGAACGCTCTTCAAAAATAAACGCCCATAAAAGCACTCGACTCAGGGCCGGTATACCTTGATGAGAGTTAAAAAAAAATTAACTGCACAATGAGTACTCATGGAAAATTTGCTTTGTGCTGCCGCAGCTAAGTCGAACAAACTAGTTTGACCAGTTTTTGTTTTTGGCGCCAAGACTGATTCACTGCATGAAACGTGACCATCTTAAGCGTTGCTAAGCGACGGTTCGTCACGTGATGTTTTCGTCCGAGTTGCTCAGCGACGAGGAAAATAAAGGGGTAGGAAGAATGCGGTGATTTTTGCAAAGAAATATCAGAAGTCCGCAAACACAATTCGGACGGAAGTCAGAAATAAAATGACGAAGCTTGAAAAATTTAAGAGACCTCCCAGCAAAATCGACTATTTCCTGTCCAATTAATTTTAGTAAGCAAAGCTAATATAGAAATTTAGGTAATAGTGGATGCAATTCTAACTGAGACACCATATACAGTTATTCTAAAAATTAAAAAAGAAAAAAAAACCTTCGCTGCAAGTTATATCAAAACAAAAGTGGGTTTCTAAATGTAGACGCAAACAAGTTAGTTTCACAACACATTTCATAAGAACATTAAGCAAGGTCTAATACCGTAACCATTAGGAACATCTGCTGAGAGTTGTCCTTCTTTGCTTTCTAGTTAAAGAAAAATGGGTTCTTTACACGAAAATCCCTTTTCAAGATGACAACAACAAATAAAATAACATTAATAAAATTAAGGAGCGAAATTAGTTACCTTGATAAGAAATGTACACTGCTAAAAACCTTACTTCTGGCCTAAAGAACTCTTCAACTCCTTTGCTTGTAGAATTATCAGTCTGCTGTTCGACAAACGCAGCTCGTTGTAAAAGCGCAATAGAATGTTCGCTCCGCAGACGGTAACGATAAGATCAAACACTTAAGTGACGTCATGAGATTGTGCTGGCATCAGGGACTTAAGTGAAAGGGCTAATGATGCTAAATATCTAAGATGTGTCGGCACGTGGTTATGAAACGAGATATAGATCGCACATCCATGAAGAGTTTTCTTCAGGATCTGTTTATGACGATCTTACAGAAGAGTATTTTCAGTGCAATGTCTACAAATATGCACCAACTTTCGATTTGCTTAGCTAAAATCGCAAACGTGGGCGCACCATTACGGCAAAGGGACAGAGAAAGAAGTATCCACCGTATGGACGCTATGTTATCACATCGATCTTTCCATATTGGAACCTACCTTGTCTTAATAATTGATTGACGCTAACAAACTGCACTCGTTACAAGTTCATGACGTACTCTGATCTTCACATTTCTGCCTTCCGTCTCCCCTCCCTATCATTCTACATACAGGCTGTCGAAGGCTCTAGAAGTAGTTAGTCAGTCATTATCAAATAGACTGAGGCAAGCATAAAATTATTTACTTAAGAGTGACGACAGAAAGTTTGTCTTTACTAATTTGATGCGGGCCACTATCGTACTGATCAACGTTGTCTGCAATGTCGAAACCAGCCCCTAGTCTGGCTTGGATGGAGACTAATCTTTTACTTAAAAGAATATGAAACACTTGTACACAGATTGCGAAGTCTTCTCCATTTTCTGAATGAAACGCAATATCCAAGATGTCATGTTGTTCTTTCTTCTAAACACTGTTAAAAACAAAAACAAAAAACAAAAAAAAACAAAAAAGAAAGAAAGAAAGAAACGCTTCCCAGACATGGCTCCGTATAAGATATACAGTGAACTGGCAGAGAAATAGGAAGTCAACATGGATCTTAGAGTTGTGCACGAAGTCCGTGCTTTTACGTGGGCACGATTCCTATACACTTTTCACAGGTAATGGTCATTGTACCAATGAAGTCTACCCCCCGTGGAACTGTTGGTTAGCACTGAGTTTCTTCCTTCAGGAATGTCTAACTTAAGGCACCGATATTACTGCACAACACCGAGTTTTGGAAACCACGACGCGACGGCAGCGGTAAGGTGAAAAATTCATTAGGTTCAAAAGGCCAAAAAACAACTCCTCGTGTACCTCACGTTTTGAGGTTTTCAATGGCTTCTCGTACAAGACCATATTTTCTTTCTCTCTCTGGACGTAATGCATTTCTTAAGCATCCGAGGCACCCTAAATCTGCCACTGACATTTGACTGTGACATTCTGTACTTGTAAGTTGTATGAATTGTAATAAAGGCTTTTTGGGGACACAAATGTACTTTTTGCAGTCACAAACATCATTGTTTGACGCAGGGTGCTGTTGAGTTTTGTTTTCTCGAACTTTCGTAAGACTCGACGACGAGACGGTAACCTTGATAAAATAAATTAGTCTTCTGAGCTCACGCGCTATTAGATATTTGCTCATTATTAAAAACTAGATCATTGGATAATGGAATTCAAGACTTTTTATTAGCTTAGCCATTATGGTATATCAGCCAATATACCATAATCTACAAATATGGCAAGCGTACGTGGCAACTTAAAATTAAAAGGGAGCTAAAAATTTAATAAAATTTAATAATTTAATTTAACGTTTTTAATAAAACAATTATTCCACTCGCGCTTGTTGGATATGAGATGATTATAGCCAACTCGGCGCTACGCGCCTCGTTGTCTATCTATCATCTCATATCCAACGCGCGCTCGTGGAATAATTGTTAAATAGTCGATTCTAAGCCCACGGTGTACTGTTTGCAACTTGTCCTCCATCTACATTCGACCTCCACCAATCAGTGTCCGTCACGGCACTGTAACTATCATTGTTATAAAGGTTCAAAGATCCTACGTCACTGTCTGTGCTTTTTGAGAAGCTTCGTCTTAATTTTTCTGGTCCTTTACCATTCGTTTCAATCACCTGCATCCTTCTCATTTATTCCTTTCTATCTTACCAAACTAATATTTTGTAGTCATTTGCAATCTCTTCGTGTTTTTCCATCGTACAGAACCCTGAAGATTTTTTTTTTTATCATCTAAATACGTGTAAATCTTCTCCATCCTTGGTCATACCTTTCCTCTATGGGTCAGTTTTAGCCTCTTTTATCTAATTTCTCTTTTTTTGTTCGACTTTTCGAAGAGGCATACTTTTCGAGTCGCCTCTTTCTGGATGCTGTGCGATTTCAGTTTGTCCGCCATCTTGGATTGGCTGACCACTCGCCTCGATTCATGCGAGCTGGCTTGAAGCTAATAAGTGTTGCACGTTTACTCAATAGGCCATTTTACAGTTGTGTACTTAGTTGTCAAGCCTTTGATTCAGAGTGAGGTTGAAGGTGACCTTGTTGTGAAAGAGACCTGTATCTACTTAGCATGATAACAAAGTGATTTACATTTGAAAGGCAGCAAGGTTTGTATCATAACAAGGTCAACCCTAGCCTCACTCCCATTCAAAGGCTTGGCAACCAAGCACACAACTGTAAAATGGACTATTCGGTCCGGATGTCATGAGAGGACATGCACACAAATTGCAATTATTTGATCGTGCGAAACGAGTTCCTACAAATCAAAACTGTGAGCAACGCCACAATTCGATGTTCGTAAGTTTAATGATTATAAACCATGCTAAATTTTGTTACGCCTAGACAAAAATATAGCCATTTTAATAACCGGTAGTTTCTATCGGCCGACCGAATCAATATTCTGTGGCCTCTTTAGAGTTAAAGGAAGTTTTTCACCTCGCCAAGAATGACTCCGCAAAATATCATCTCGAAAAATTCTGTCGAAGTCGATATTCTGTAAGACTATTTCTCATGCTTTGACCGTTAAACTCCCAAGATCTGATTGTCACTTCTCGCCTCTAGCTGCGACTTAAGGCGGGTAAATTAGTTACAAGAATTTGGTGTTAGATCAAGATAACGTTTACCTGATAAGTCAGAGTATTCCCATTACCTGTTTCGGGGATAATGTCTGTATTTTATAGGGAGAAGTTACATGTTGATCACTTCTGGTGGGAGTTGTGCAGGGTGAAAACTAAACTCCAAGGCACCTAGTTCTTTTTCTAAGGGAACGACTGCAAAATAGAGAGGCGTTTAAAGAAAAACTCGACGAAGGAAGTAGCCCTTTAAATTGCTTACTGCACAATGAACCGAATGGGCAGCAAAACCCACTCTTGAGATCCTAATCAAAAATCTTTGATACTAATGAGGCTAAACAGCCAACGATAACAAAAATAAAACTCGTCATCATGAAATACGTCAACAATGTACCTAATGATCATGACTGCGTCAAAAAGAGAGCAATCTATCGACTTGATTACAAGGTTGTGTTACAGCAATACAGAGAATTTCCCCAAAGTACACAACGTTTTTGTGATATTTGAGGGCCGGTTATTTAAACGATATCCAACGATACAATCCACGGACCTCCAGACATTTTTTTAAAAAGATTTTTTTTTAAAGTAAGTGTGTGGTTTTCACGGGCTAACTATGGCTAACTGCAAGCGTTCCTGACGCTATGAACAAAGAATGTTTGGATGACACATTTGTTTACATTGAAAATGAATAAGAACGTATTAAAGGTTGTATTTATCTAAACTGAATCTTTCTATTTGGACCCACATTGCAGTTCATGATTTATGAAGTTTTATTACGGTGGTTGGGTAGATGTTATCATGTTACCGTCGTGAACTACTGCCCTCAGCATTCTCCGGGCCCTCTCGACACGGTTTTTCATTTCGTTGTATTTAGCTTTTTTTTTTATGACAAAAGACAGGAGAGATACACGAGTTAAACAATGATAAAGCACTTTTAATTTTTGGCAGAGACGCGAGAATTGTTAGTGAACGCACACAACGAGAAGTCAAGACACTAATCGAGGGGCGTGGGGGATAATAAAGCTAGCGGAGGGCATGAAAAAAAAAAAAAATGTAGGATTCTTTCCTTCTCTCTTTTCAATAGCATTACAACAACGACCGTACCCCCTGAATCTTAAGTGGATCGCTTCCAGTCACCATGGCATGAAAAAACCTGAAAAGTTTGGCGTTTACATTTGCGACGAAAGTCGCCGCGTTGACGACCGGTGTTCGGTGATCATGTCACAAGCTGTAACTTTCAAGCTGTAACTTTCAAGCTGTAACATTCAAGCTGTACATTTCTGAGTTATTATCATTATTTTTTTTGATTTAGTATAAGTGAGATAACCATTAGCTTTACTTTACCATCGATGCTGCGTGTTTTTTTTTTTGTTTTTTTTTGTTTTTTTTGTTTATAAAAAAAAATTGCAAATGGAATATAACTTCTGGCGACCATGTTATGATGCAAGGTTGTCGCAAGTTCAGCTTGGAGTCCTGAAGTATTGTCAGAAACGTCGCCGCGCCAACAGAAGTCCAAGCTGTCATACTCTGTCCACGACAAATCTGTGCACTGATAGACTACAACAGCAATATTTCTGTAGTATTTAACAATTCTATCGATTGTTCACACGCCTCGGTGAAAATTCTCTCGGTTCTGTTCTGAATGTTATTGTAATTTTTCCACATTGTAGACATACTCGTCCTGCGTTCCACATTTACTGAATATCCGTTTTTGGAGGGCTTACTTTTTTTCTGGGTTTACCTACAGAAATAAGAATATTTAATCAATGAGACCAATTGTATCCATGGGTTTGTTTTTTTTTTTTTCGATACTAACGAAAACTTTTTCTTTTGCGCTTAGCCGCATTTGAAGTTCAACTGAAGGCAGTTCAAATTCGTATTATCCCAAATTCACAAAGGGAATGGAGACATCCAAGAAACCAGTCAGTTCAACATACATAACGTAGTAAGAAAGTACATAGACCAAATACTTAAGAGTCGTGGAAGGGAAAACGGGGAGGGTGGGGTGGAGTCGTGGCACGGGAGAGGAGGGAAGGGGTCTGGACAAGCTTTTACAGAACAATGAAAAGACACTAAAATTAGGCTAAAAAAATCCACTTTGATCGATTCATATGTCACCGTTGCAACTGACAAAAAAAGGATAAATTTCATTACCCTTGTCACCTTTAGAGACGCTATCTTTAGAGAAATCTCCCTCTAAAAAGGTCCTATAAAATAAACTAAGGGGAACAAATGAAAATTTTGACGCTCAGAGAAAAAGAAAAGAGAGAAGAAAATAGGGACCCCACAGAATTATGAAGGGCCTTAAACCTCACCAACCGCGAAGGCCGCCCCCAAAAATTATGAGCATCGAAGCTAAAAATTCGCTGCGTCATATAACATGCCACAATCAATATCCTTACCATAATTTTTAAACCGATACCACATTTAAAGGACAAGAATTTCAAGTATCTATCTTTATTTCCGATTCAACGACCAAGAAGGCTTGACACTGAAAGAAATTTCCAATATTCACTTCTTGGTTACGTCACATATACAAATCGGCTTTAAAATTTCCCGTGCGATACAAAAACACCGCTAAATTGTCAACATTTAAATTGTGTTAATTGTTAAATATCTTATTTTTAGGTGCGTGGGAATTTCTAAGATTAGAAGAAAATTTTATTAACAAAGGTCTTCCTATGCAAAAGTTACCTATAAAAGTCACGTAGTAAAACTCGTTTATTTGTAAGATAACTCGAAATTACTCCATTCCACCAACACAGTGAGCAATTTTACCCATTTAATTAAAGACAAATTAATTCTTTAGACAGCCTATATCATTGGGCTATAAACGAAAAGTCATAAACGTTGTACGCTGGCTACATCAAAGTTGTTAATTATATAGCGAACACTTGAGTCACGCAAGAATAATTTGTGACAATATTGAGTTGAGGTTCCTGTTAGACTGGCGCTCTTTAAACCGTGGCGACCCCTCACACCATCAAAACTTCTGCTTACACGCCGGAATGGAATTGGACACGATCTTTGGGCGGTTTAACAATCTATTCACGATTGAGTGTCGTAAAACTAACAACTAAGTCCTTGCAATGGCCATTTAATCCAAATGAAAATATCAATGTGGGGCCAGTTTGAATTCCAACTTAATGCAAATAAACTATCTCCATCCTTCAAAAAAAAAAAAAAACGCGAGTCGCGATTTTAACTTTGCATCTTATTGGTTGGGAATGGCACGAGTTATTGCAACCAATCACAATGAAATGCCAGATTACATTCTTCACTATGTGAAAATCTGCTCTACAGAGCAAGTAGAAGTCGTTCAATAATTTTCCTCCACAATATCTGATACAATATTTCTCATTAACATTTCCCAACAGGGCTTTTGAAGATTAGTTTACAATAGAAATTAACAAATATCTAACAAATTACAAAAAAAAAAAAAAAGTATAAAAATGTGTCAAAAGTGAAACTCTTGCGAATATCAATAATGTACTTTGAATTGTTAAGTACTGATAAGATAATATTTTTAATATATTTTAAAGACCCGATCATTGGAAATTTCAGGTTCAAGGTTCGACTTCTTCAACTCTACGGATAAGTCTCTCAGAGAAGCAAATATTATAACTTCCTGGAGGCGTAACCCAACGAGACGTAACAAAATTATTGATTGGCGCAGAAGTGAGAGTTCAAAACAGGAACAAAACAAAAAATAAACTCATTGATCAGAAGCCCACAACCTTCGAATGTTGCTGACAGCGTTTTTAGAGGCGACTGACGTCTTCCCATTTGACACCAATACAAACGCGTTAGTAGTCATTTAAGTACTAGCACTTTAATTAATCCCGCGAAACCATATCATGGGTGCCCCTGTGACTGGTTTCCTAAATCCCTGAGTCTTCCCCGACTGAAATATAATTTCTTCGACCAACTATCCAATACTTCTCTAGAACGTGACGCAAAACTATTCGACCTTATCACCCGAGGGGTGCAAGAAAGTGGCAATGGAAACGTCGCGATCCTTATAGAAAGTCGCTACATCGTGACGCAAACAATTATAATAATACTGAATTATCCACAGCTTTTGTTACGATATTAAGCACAAATGTTACATACAATAATAGACAGTCAACCCCGTCGCCCGAAGAAAGCTAGCAGTAGCAGTCTAGCAGTCTAAACGTCGCGATCATTGTCGGAAGTAACTACATCGAGAGACAACCGTTAAACAATAGAGTTCATGTTCGCGGGCATAAATATGTTTTGGACTCGATTGAGAGTCATTTTAGTCCGAGCCGTTTGGCGAGGGTTAAAATGAGCTTTGAGAGGGGCCGAAAAAATACTTATGCCTACGAACATAAACTGTATCGTTATTATTATTATTATTATTATTATTATTATTATTATTATTATTATTATTATTATTATCATCAAAGCACTCAAGAAAAGGACAGAAACACTCAACTACGTACATCTCGTGTTTATCCCTACATTTCTTTCGTACTCTATCGCTTCCTTTGTGCCTTCCTAGTTAGTAGAGGGGACTAGTAGAGTCCCCTCTATTAACTATGGTGCTTTTCAACAGAAGAGAGCACAGTGGAGGCTTCTCTTTTTGTTGATTAAATGTTTGTTCACACCTGTCATATAAACAGACTTACTCTCGCACATTCAAATTTAGAGCATCTCTCATTCCTTCGAAAGTTTTTTTTTTCTTTTTACTTTTTGGAGTTAAAAATTTGGGGATAGCTCCAAAAAGAAAGCTTTTGGCAAATAGTTTCACGTTTCGTGACGTTTCAGGACTCCGTCCTTATCGACTGTTTAATCATTTTGAAGTAACAGTCTTTACTCTTATTTGCCAAATGACTCAGAAGTCATTTAATTAGTTGCCATTCAAGGAGATTATGAAACTGTGGAATTGTTTTGACTCCAACATAGAATACAAGAGACTTAAATTAGTCAAAATTGGCTCGTAAGGTTAAGAATTTACGTACCCCAAGGGAAGTTAATGCGTGATAATACTAATAATCATCATAACAACTAGTATCTCTAGATTTTTCTGCTCCTCTTTCTTTTTTGTTTTCTTTTTCATCGTTCGTTCGATTCGTTTTAATCAATGCTTCAGAGAAATTTCTCTTTTAAAATTCCACAAAAGAAGAGGCTTGCTAATAGGAATTTGTCAGGCACAAATGATGTTTAAAGAAAATAGCAAACGGGAACAGTTAAGAAACTTATAATCCCGCACAATTTTGATTAATAA